GGTTTTCCAAAACAAAAGGAAAACCAAACAAAAAAAAAAAAAAAAAAAAAGAGAGAAAGGAAAAGAGAAAAGGGAAAGGAAAAAAAAGAAAGAAAAAAAAGGAGTCACATGGACATCCCAGTCTCTATAAACTGCACCATAGCCTCATTTTGCTGTGTTAACAAATTTATTCAAACTAATCCATCCATCCATCTTCCATTTATCATCTTCTTGGATTCGACACTGTAAGCAAAGGTGGCCCGACTTCCGTCTTTTCAGGCATCTCTTTCAACTCATCCAGGGAGGGAAAAAAAGCATCCCCAAGCCAGCAAAGAGATGCAATCTCTCCAGCGTGGCCTCCTGGTAGGAATTACCCTAAACACCTCACCTAGGAGGTACCCAGGAGGTATTCCCAGTCTGATGCCCAAACCACCTCAATTAGCTCCTTTTGATGAAGGAGAAGCATTTCTATTTCGAGTTCCTCACTCTACAGGTGAGAGTAAGATTACCAGTAAATTGACAGCTTCTCTGTCATTCTCAGCTCTCTTCTCCACAACATATCGGTACAGCCTCCAAATCATCACCACACCAATCCGTCTCCCCTCATTCATGAATGAGATCCCAAGGCACTTCTCCACTGGGGGCAGCAATTTCCCTCCAACCACCCACCTTGGGCATTCTACTTTTTTCCAGCTGTCCAAACTGAGACTTAACCAGTTTGTGTATCTTTTAAATACATTTTCGTTAATTTTGCAGGTACTTTCTTTTAATTAAAATGTGTTTACAAGCCAATTCTAGTTTTTAGTTTAGTTTTAGTTAAGTATAATAACCGTGTTAGGATGCCAAAATGGAATTTAATGCAATCATCACTTATGGTTCACATGGCACATGTAGGCTGGGGGGAAACTTAACTGTTTCCAGATATTTATGAATATATAAACTAAAGATTAGTAGTAGAAGAAAACTGGAGTTTGAAAGAAAAAATGTACAGTTTATATATCCTGTCATCAGTTTACTTTCTATGGCTGAAAACTACAAGTAAAAATCCCGTGTAGTATGAGATTTTTTTTAAAAAAAAAAATTTTAAATAGCATTCACATGTACTTATGCTTGCGTTTACAAACCACATGGCTGCACATTCGTACACTGGTCTAAGTGTTTGTCGTTTATAGCCTATTCCTGAGATAAGAAAAAGCTAACCCCAGGGCTTACTGGCACATTTCACTTTTTCCACAGTAGGCCTTTTGTTCCCATTCTGGGGGGAGCCTGAGCCTGGATGTAGATTTTTTTTTTTTGTTGTTGTTGTTAATAGTCTGAGAAAACTACTTGTTTTCTCCTACCTGCTCCGTTTGCTTCCACTTCTGCTCCAGGGCATCGAACATGACCCTGCACAGCTCCTGGACGTCATGTTGTTGCCAAGCTAAAAGCAAAAGCACAAAGAAAGAAAAAGTATAATTAAGTGTACAGACAGAGGCACATGGTCTTGTCCTCCATGAACATGCAAACCAGCCATGTGAGCCTACTCACAGGCAAGTACATAGCTCACCCTCACTGCTGTCCCAGCCAAAGCTTCGCGTCACATCAGTAGTCTCAATTGCCCGTTTCTTACTAGTTTGCAACAGAACAAACAGTCTTTGCAGCTGGTAGGGAATACTGGTGACAGGATCCTCCTCTTGCTCCTCAAACTCCCAACTGAAGTCGAACAGCAGATATTTGAGAATTCTAAATCTATTATATGTGACAAGAGAATTTTCACAAAGTGATCCATAATCATGATTTCTTACTTGTAGAGTGCATTCCTAAACTCTGGGGTCATGAACAATGTTTGCAGCAGACTGTTCAAATAGCAAGTCATCGCTTGGTTGACCAAGCCCACATAACCTGTAAAGGCAGCAAGAGACAAGAAGTAAGTGATCGGTTGGAGATGTATAAAAGGAAAGGTGTCACATATTCAACATGTAACCAAACCTCACCCGTCTCAGACTTGCTAAGGATGGACGAGTAAGAGTAAGATGGACTGCTGTAGTCACCACTGCAGCCAGGAGTCCCATCTCTCAGTAGGGGTCCAATAAATCGTTCCTGGGAACTGTCATCTAGTCCACTGCTATCTGCTGTTCCTGACTCATCCTACAAACACAAACATGCCTTGTAATAACATCTTTCGTTCCCTTTTAGTCGATTCACTCGGTAAGTATGGGATATCGCGCCCTCGCGTGTCCTGGCTGAAGAAACCTTTATTCACGCCTTTAAGGCAAATGACGTGTGATGACAGCCACACGGCCCCGTCTGCACATATAGCCGCTGTCATCACAGTCATCCCTCAGTTCTTACGCTCTTCACCTCACTGAGAACACCTCTGCTGAGTTGGGCTAGCTAGCTGCTGCTAGTTAGCTCCGTTGTCTGCCGACTTGAACTTAGCTTAACTGCCCCTGTTGGTGTTAGCCTCCACCGCGCAGTTGGTGTGTAGGCTGCCCGCGGAGCGCTAATTTCAACTTTTTCTTGTGCAGTGTTTCGCTTTGCGTTTTGAAATGGACTCCAAACCTAGCGAGCAAAGCAGAAATCTTCTGTTCGCCCCTGTCCTCAGGGATGCAGTTTCTCTTTGCACGATAGCGACCAGCACGATGCCTGCCCTGTCTACCTTGGGATCGTCAACGCTCTCCTAGCGTGGACGGAGCCCGAAGCCTGTGCACTTTGCCGCCAGCTCCGGCGCTCAACCCTGGAAAGACAGGTGACGTTTGTGGAAAAAGTGCTGGGACGCTCGGCTGTCGCACGGCATGACCCTCTCCTTTCCGAGTCCGAAGACGAGGATTTTCCGGTCGATGTCCCCGCAATTAGCTGGGCTGACCACATGGAATACGTTGACGGGTTAGCTGATGACGAGCCGGAACCATGCAGGAGCGATGACGGGCTTCAGCCTGGGTTGAAGCCCGCCAGCGCTCCCCAGGAAGACGATGACGTGCTGGACATCAGCCTGGACATCCATGGTTTGTCGGAGGATGAGCAGGAGAGCGCATTGTCGGCCCAATGTGTCGCCGCTGCCGCGCCGGTCGGCCACGATGACACCTCTCTTTTCTCCCTGTTTCGCCGTGCTGCTGAGAAGCTGCAGGTGGACTGGCCCTCTCCTCCGCCAGCTCAGAAAGCCATCGCGGTTCGCGGGTTTTTTCCTCCCACTGGAGCCCGCAACGGCCAAAAACTGCCTTCCCGTGTTCCCAGACTTTCTCTGCAAGCTAACAGCATCATGGGACAAACCTCTGTCTACCAACGTCACTGTGCCTGGCTATGGACAGTACATGGAATTGGACGGCGCCGACGGGGCTGGCTTAGCTAACCCACCCCCTATGGAGTCATCTCTGGCTGCTTATCTGTCCCGTCCCCACTCTGTTCGAGTGGAGAAGGGGTCCAGCAGCAGGGAGACGCTGCTTTTACCCCTCTGTTGCCGCACAAGAGGTGCCGCTTAAGTTCTGTTCAGGTTGTCAGCCCCAGAAGGCGCTGCACTTTCCTAACACTGTCTCCCAAGCACAAAACCCCTGCACACAAAATGCCTCAGGTAACTCCCTGTTCAGGTGTGTTAAATGTTCAGGTGACCACATCGAGTGTTCCCGCTGTTTTTCATTGTTGTGCCCCAGAAAAGGTGCCTCCAACAAAATGTATGAATGTACATGTTTCCATGTTACAATCAATAAAGAGTGTTGTTTATTCTCAAACAATCACAAATGCTCAGCCTGCAGGCAGAATGAGCCAGGTCAGGCAGGTGATGCAGTCCCCTGCAGACACACTGGGGGGCGACAACGCCCCGCCGACGGTGCTGCAGGTCAGCCAGCTGGCTGCTCACTTCCCTCAGTGGTGCGCTTGTGCCCCCTCTCCGTGGGTGCTGCGAACCGTTGCCATGGGTTACCGGTTGCAGTTCCAGGTCAAGCCACCATGATACTCAGAGAGGAAATAAAGGCGCTATTGCAGAAAAGAGCAATACGAGTGGTCCCCGCTTCGGAGACAGACAAAGGTTGGTACAGCCGTTATTTTGTTGTTCCGAAAAAAGGGGGAGGGCTTCGTCCCATCCTCGACCTGCGAGTCTTGAACACATATCTACGAACGTACAGGTTCAAGATGCTAACACTCAGACAGCTCTTGAATGCGGTCTGCCCGGGAGATTGGTTTGCAACAATCGATCTAACAGATGCTTATTTTCATGTGGCTATACACCCGAAACACAGGCAGTTTCTGAAGTTTGCATTCAAGGGCGTAGCCTACGAATACCTAGTGCTGCCGTTCGGGGTGTCGCTCGCTCCTCGCACCTTTACGAAATATGCCGAGGCAGCGCTAGCGCCCCTCAGCGAGAGGCATCCGCATCTTAGCCTACCTAGACGACTGGGCTCTCGTAGCTTGCTCCAGAGAGCAGGCGGAGACACAGCTGTCGCTGGTTCTGTCACACATTCAGACACTGGGGTTCTCTGTGAACTTTCAAAAGAGCTTGCTAATCCAGAGTCAGCAGATTACTTGTCTTGATTTGGAAATATGCTCGCTTTCCAGCCGCGCACGTTTGTCGGAGCACAGAGTGGCCACGTTTCATCGCTGCCTCGCTCAGTTTCAGCTGGGACACAGACTGCGTTTCCAGACGATATTAAGCTTGTTGGGCATGATGGCATCTATGATCGCCGTAGTGCCACTTGGACTGTTAAAAATGAGAGCGTTTCAACGCTGGGCTCTCTCTCACCGTTTGTGTGCATCACGTCACCTCCGTCTTGCATGCTAGCTCTCCGTCCTTGGAGGGAGCACATGCTGTTTCGCAAGGTGGTGTCCACAGATGCTTCCCTAAGAGGGTGGGGAGCGCTGTGCGAGGGTGCATCAGTGAGAGGGATCTGGTCCGCAGCCCAGCGCCAGCTGCACATCAACCACTTAGAGCTGTTAGTAGTGTTCTTAGCTCTAAAGCATTTCCGTCCAGTCCTGGATGGCCAGCATGTCTTAGTCAGGACGGACAATTCAACAGTGGTGTCTTACATAAACAGGCAGGGAGGAACACGCTCGCTTCCCCTGTTGAAGCTGCGCACCAATGGCCAGACGTGCTCCTGTATGCTTTTCCCCCAGTGGAAATGATATCTCCAGTTCTAGAGAGAGTGCGTCGGCATTCCCTCTCTCTGATTCTAGTGGCCCCTTGGTGGCCCACAAGGTCGTGGTATGCAGAGATAATCAGCCTGCTAGCAGCAAGTCTTTGGCAGCTTCCTCTCCGTAGGGATCTCCTCTCTCAGGCGGGAGGAAAAGTGTTTCATGCGCGCCCAGACCTGTGGCGCCTTCATGCTTACCTGCTGAGAGGTTAAACTTGATTGCTAAGGGTTTGCCACCTAGTGTGATAGCGACAATTCAGAGCGCTAGGGATTCATCTACTAGAGGCTTGTACGCTTACAAATGGCGAGCCTTCGAGCAATGGTGCCAGGATCGCCACACGCTTCCATCTCAGTGCTCTATTGTGGATGTTTTGACATTCCTGCAGGAGCTGCTGGATAAGGGCCTTTCATTTTCGACAATTAAGGTTTATTTAGCCGCTATATCTGCTTGTCATATTGGCTTTAACGGGGTGACACCAGGTGCACATCCCCTCGCCATACGTTTTCTGAAAGGAGTTCGCCGGCTGAGGCCCGTGCTTAAGTCCAGTGTCCCTGCTTGGGACTTGTCTTTGGTGCTGGAGGCCCTTTGTAGCCCCCCGTTTGAACCCATTCAGTCTGTGGATATGAAATTTCTTTCATATAAGACTGAATTACTTCTCGCTTTGGCAAAGCGAGTGGGTGACCTTCATGCGCTGTCTGTGCATCCCTCTTGCATACAGTTCTCTCCTGATGGCCACAAGGTCGTATTGCGTCCAAATGCTGCCTATTTTCCCAAGATCATGCCACAAGGTGGCCCCACTGAGCAGTTTGGCTCGGTGAAGCGCACCTATCGAACTGAGGGATGACTGTGATAACAGCGGCTATATGTGCAGGCTGGCCGTGCGTGTGTCATTACACGTCATCTGCCTTAAAGGCGTGAATAAAGGTTTCTTCAGCCAGGACACGCGAGGGCGTGATATCCCATACTTATGTGTTGTACCTCGTTCCTCCCCTTCAGGGAACAGAAGTTACAGACATAACTATTCGTTTCCAATTAGAGTGTTTAGCGTGTTAGTAGATTATGTAGGGAAATAATTATAGATTTCTTTTTAAAGATTATTTAAGAAATTATGAATCATTATCTTAATTTATTCTTAAACACTCACAGATGCAATCTGGGGCTGCTCTCCATCTTTATCTGTAAGCTGGAGGAAATTCCTCTTACCACCAGGTTCAAACCCAGACTCTGAGAGGGACATCTCACTGCTATGGTCAAGCGGTGCCTAGAGAAAGCAAATAAACACAATATGAACAGACAAGTTTCACAGAGGTCAACAATGCCTGGACAGCAGTAAACACATGCAATCTTTTTTATTCGATATTTAGTTTAAGCAAAATGTCAACTTAAGTCAACTCAGTCTACTATACATAAAAAGACCTTACAATATTATAAAGACCAAACAAACTACTCCCTTTGCGTAAACAGTGGAGCAGAAAACCTTCCTTTTAGCACCAAGAAAACTTCAGTAGAACCACTCTACGGGCTAGCAGCCATCTGGTTTGAACGGTCAAAACAGATGGCTGCAGGCTAGCTGTTTACAAACTATAAAGTGGATGAACTCACCGGAAGAGTTAAAGTCCTACGGAATTCATTTTCAGCTAATTCCATGTATTGTTGTTAACAAGGAAAGCCTCTGCAGCCAACATGTGAACAACGCTACCTAGGTTTCTCCGGGCCAAGCTGAGGATGAGCAAGCAAAGTGCTGCAGTGGGAACAAGCAGTGGCTTAATCCACTGACCTACTCAGTGAGATAACAACAGGCAGCACCTGGGCTTTGGCCTGGGTCAGCAACAGGATTAGCATGGGCTCATTTAAGAAAAGGGAATAATGTGTACACACAGATCCAACCGTACAAAACTCATCACTGATTAAACATATTAGGAAAGTCAGTTTTAGCAACAGTATTTTTACTTGTTTGCATTTTGTAGCAGTTGTAAAATGTAAATTTACATGTAATGACAGGGTACAAAAATCTATTATCAGCTGATGTCGTGGTACTGTCCTAGCAATAAAGAAGGTAAAAGAGCTACATTGTGTCTCAAATGAAACATGCGTGAGAATAAACTATAAACAAAGGTTGGGAGCCATTATTATGAATCACATCAATGTTCACCAGAATTAGTCAAGTTACACTCAAGTCACTTTAAAGCTGCTGCCGATATTTTCTTTTTGGCCAACTGGAGAGCAACAGAGGTTGAAAGAAAAAAAAAGAAAAAGAAAACTGTCACAATAAACCATGATATAAAAGTGTTTTTACCTAACAAACTGCCAGTTTTCTGCATGTTGCACCACTGCCTTTTTTTTTTTTTTTTACTTGTTTCATTAAAGCTGTTTTTAGTCAAGTGACAAATGATAAGTAAGACTAATAAGTCTTACTATAATTTCTTATTGACTCATATTTTACCTCTTTTGTTTTAACTCTGTCATTGTACCCAAACAGTAGAGAAGCACTGTGGGATACCTACAATTACCCAAACTGATTTTTTTTGTGTGTCACTGACTGAAAATCAGGTGCAACAGTAAAAGTTAATGAGAGGAGTGAAACTAATTTTGTTTGGTCGGTTTAAACTGATCTCTGGTTCATTTTCCCTTTTGATGTAGTTAGTTGGTGCAGATGCGAGCACAATAATTGCACTCAATGGAGAAGAAGTGACCGTCAGAAGGAGGTGGTTCCTGGTCTGATTTCGAATGAACTCCATCCAGGGAGGCTCATTTATGGTGAGAATGTCAATCAACCCAACTACCACTGCAAGTTTGAGCTAAACATCTTCCTGTAGCAACGTATGCACCAGGGTACCATAGATATCCAGAGACCACAAACTATGGTAGCTTGCCTGCTACACAGTTTTACCCAAGATAAACACGATAAACATGAATGAGTAAATATTCAATGTTATACACTAGTTACGAACACAGCACCTTAATCCTGCATTTACTTTTATTTCTCCTTTTTCCAGACACATCTGCTAATGTCTGCTGATGCTAAACCCACGTTACTCTCCATACCAAAACAAAGCTAAACTGATGAATTACTAACCATGTCTTGTGTATTTCCCCATGCAAGTCCAAAAGTGCCATTTACGTATCCTGCTTTGTGAGCGACATCTTCATAAAGTTTGGAGAGGGTGGTGGAAGCAGGCAGGTTGAGAGTCAGCCGTTCGTTCACCGTCTTCGCGCTGGTGATGTCCTGAATTATACACAGCGCTCTGGGCTCCTCGGCTGCATTTTGGATCTGCAAATAAATAAAGAAAAAGATATAAACATTATTTTCTGACTTGTTTGTTTTCCAATGAAGAGCTAAACATTAAAAAAATAATAATAATAAAAAAATAAAAAAAACGTTAAAGCTGTGCTACAAAGGTCATTAGTAACATGCCAGTTGATGCTCGGTTTTGGTTTTGTTGGTTGTAATTTCATGCACAATATTAATTTTTTTTTTTTTTTTAAATACAAAGTACCCTGCTGTGGATTTTCAAAGGATTTCCATTCCCATATTTTCACCACACCTGGATCACCATGTAGTGTATTGAGAAGGGACCTCTAGTAACCCTCCAACTCACCTTTCTACCAAAGTATAATGGATTTACTAAATCATATCAAATTAATAATATAATTATCGGGCATATATTAGGAAAAGAAGATATTTAAATGTATAAATAGATTTTTTCTGTATCTTAAAGGCCACTTTAACACTGGTGCTTTGAGTTATACAGGTTATTATTACAATCGGTATAAAACTTGTTTCAAACCTAAACTAAAAGCAATTAAACTAACCACCGTTGTAATATTAGTCTGTTAAAAGCTCTGAGTTCCTTAGTTTTTATATTAAATACTTCCAACAGAAATACTTACTTGCTTTCTTCTTCAAAATTAAAGTTTTGAAAAAAAAATCTATAACAAGATAACAAAACAACAAAACTGATGTGGTAGACATGCAGTAATTTGACTTCAAGTATAACAGACTTGCAAAAGTAGCTCTTGTTCTCTTTTTTGCAATTGTGGTTTATCAGGGCTCGATACTGAAACCGCTTTACTGAAACCTCTTTTCAAAAAGTGTTTACGACACATGACTGGCTGATTTTTCCTACACTAAACCTCCCAACACATGACTGGATAAGGTGGGCAGTTGGTTGATTCCGGTGGACAGAACAACCACTTGTCAGATTTCTCCTACATACTCCACAATCTGCTTCAACAACATGCCATGCAATCGCTCACTCATGCTTAATTTTGAAGCAAAAAACAAAAACAAAAATAGTCAGGTGGAACAGGAGTTTCAAGAAGCACTGAGTCATTTCAACTAAACACTCCTCATAGTTTGCTTTGTGACTGGTCTGGTATGTAGTGTTCCCAGTCAGGGACAAATCACCTGCAGACTAAAAGCCAACCTTTCTTAAGAACTTGAGCAGCAAAATCTGGCAGAAAAGGTCACTCACCAAGCAAGAAAAAGTCTAGGCACTGAAGAGTAATGACAAAGTGTTTTAGTTTAGCTTACTTACCTGTTAAGTATCAAATGAAACAAAACAACTAGGTTAAAATAACATATAAACCCCTTAAAGTTTCAGATACGTTAACTGGGAGTGCAGACTGTAACTGTTACATTTTAAACAGTAAAAGCTGGCAAGTACCACCCCGCCCAAAATGACAAAGTTTTCATTTCTATTACAAGATATTGTTTAGATCTTAAAACAAGACAAAGCGAATGCACTAAATTATATTTCAGAAAAAGCATTTACCAGTAGATAAAAGTGACACCAATTTATGATTAAAATGCAACACGAAATTATTTAGTTTTCCTGTAAATGTGCACCATGCTAATAAATTATTTGTCTGCTAATCATTATTTAATTCCCTTTCTCTTTGATTATTGAAAAAGGTGGTACTTGTTTAAGCTGGTTTCTAGTTTAACAACATGCGTCGAGCTTTGTTCTAGTATAATAGTCATCATGGCTACTGCTTCATGCATCCATTTACCACCATGCTCGATTGTGTACACGCTCTCCTATATCAAACACACCTGAGAAATCCTCTTCATTTCATCAAAAATACTTTGTCTGCAACTCCAAAATACACCCTGATAATATGTGGAGATAGTTGAGGGTGAAGAACAACTTAAAACACATAGAACAAGTAAATTAAGTTGTAAAACATGTCAGTTGGTTGAAAAACAATTGAGCTGTTTTCTAAAAACCTATAAAATGCAACAATAATAATAATATATATTCAAATAATTGCACTTTTTGCAGCCTTTTTGTATGTGTGATCTTAGCAAAATGTGACTGCCAGCGCCTACAAAGACGCTGCTGCAGCTGACAACACACAAGTGTATTATGAGATTAAAGGTTATTTTTACCATGGATATAATCACATGAAGCTACAGGTACAGCATAACACAGGCAGCATATTACAGAAATATTTTAAAGACACAAAAATTAGACATTTGAAAAATGAGAAAATCAGTACCTATGAACTAATTCAGTAACTACAAATGAAGGTTACTTAAATAAAAGTGATCCATGTGGAGCACTAGTGTAGGGGGGGTTTTCACATGAGGTGATGCCAATAAACAATTGATGTCACTAGAAATACATGGTGGACAAATATATGAGCTATATCAGCAATCTGCTAAATAAAGTTCCTAGTTGCTTTTTTTTTTTTTTGGTTCAACTGTTATTGGAGAGCTATGTCAACTGCCAATTTATAAATCATATTTGAGAACTGCACCAAAAAAAAAAAAAAAAAAAGGAAAAAAAAGACAAGAAAAGGGCTTGGTTGTCAACTTTCATCATTTAAATGCAAGTATTATACCCACTGTTTATTGTATCGGCAAAGGGATCATTGGGACAGTGCTTTTTGTTATAAGTCTACACAGCAGAACTATTAAATACCCCAAGCCATTCACTTAACATTTACCACAGTTGACGTAGAGCTGCATGTGAGTGTCTTACATGACAGAGGTGGTTAATTAGCCTTTTCTCCTCACTCGTGTTTTATTTAACTCGAAACAACATATAAATAGAGTTCCCTGTGACTTCCTTTATCCCAGGATATCCCACCTCAACTTCCACCTATTCTCAACGCCAGCTGCAGTTTACATTACCTTCACCACAACAGGCCAACATACATCTCAAATATATCTTAATATTTTTATGGTCAGGATGCAAGTTTTAGATGCAAAATACTCTTTAGATCCAAAATGCACAAAGCTGGTTATCGATTCACTAATGAAGGAAGATAGAACTATAATATTTGAAAACTATGAAGATTAAACGCATAATACAGACTAAAAGAACACAGCAGCTGCAGACAAAGCAGCAGTAAGTGATGAAAAGCACTGCACGGCAGTTTAGTATTAAATGTGTGAGCACTTTAAGCACTTTGGCCAACAAGACTGGAGATGAGCTAACAAATCGGCTAATAAACTTTAGCCAATTTGAAATCAGGATAGAAAGCAAGAAAAAAATACCAACTGTACAAGTTGACAGCCTCATCAATATCACAGTACATAATGGTCTAGAAAAGCAAATGTTTGATTAAATTAATGTTTAAAACATAGTTGGAAAAAGGAGACGCATTAAAAAAAAAAAATCTAAAACCTATCCTTTCACAAAGATCCAAGGATCTTCCAGGAATGGTGACACTATTTTCCTGAGATTTGATCAGCCAGTGGTAGGTAATTTCATACTTGCTGGTTTTTAATCTGGAATCTCACCTGTTCCCAGCACAAATAACCATGACGTTATACATCAGTAGGAAGTAAACCGCCTTCACAGTACAAAAGCCCAGGGTACATGGATAAGCAGAAACCCTGCTCCATCGTACATTGCTCAGGAACCAAGGAGGTATAACGGCAAAGAAATAATGGTTACATTATTAACCATTATTAATAATAATGGTTACATTATTTCTTCAGTAAGAAATACTGTAAGAAATACTATTTCTTACTGAAAAGCTACAGTCAACCTTATTGTCAAAAGACTTGACTCCAAAAGGTGTATCATTACTATGCGAGAAAATAGGCTGTAGGCTCGCTTATCAAATAGGGTCCTAATGTTAAATGGACGCCTGACAAATTGCTCTGAGCCCAATATAAAAGAAACAAAGTAAAAACACACCCTTAAAAATAATGGTGTAACGCATTAAATGGATATGACTGCTATGTTAGCAGTACGGTATATGATGTTTACCTTAACCAATCCTGTTAATATGTGAGCTAACAAATCAGTAATCAAACCTGACTACCGTCACTGCCGTTGATCAAAGAGACTATTCATTTTATTCCTGTTTGAATAAGAAGGAACTGCTAATGTTAACATTAAGACTTTGCACGTTAACTGAGCTCCAAGCTAGAAGCATAAAAATTCTAAGTAACTTATCTTCAGCAATAAAAGAGGTTATCGACGATGTTAAAAAATAAACAAAGAACGATCAATTTATTCTGAGATAAACGCTAATGTTGTTAAACACACATCTATCAGTAGCGTAGCTAGTCAATTCCGCTAACATTAGCGTTAGCTTGTCAATTTGTCTTGCTAGCACTGACGTTTACATTCAAAGTAGAAGTTTTACTTAAAAACAACCTGTAAATGATTCCAAGAAGGGTTTGAAATATATATATCTGTAAAACTATTGTTTGGGGTCGAAGGGGTTTCAGCACTGCTTGCCATTTGCAATTGGTTGGGGAACTTCAAAAACATCTAGATTAGCCGGAGTTGTTGCCACTGATCAGATTTAAGAAGCGAACAGCGCTTGCTAGCTAAATCCCAAAAGCTAATGTTATGCTAGTAAGCTAACTGATGTTGACAAATGCCTTCGTTTGACGGGACAACATAATGTCATTAGCAACAATGGAAAAGGTTGGGGATTTTAGTGACCATAAAGCTATGTCTTGAGTCTAAACAGTTAAATGGTAATTATGATAACGCTTTTGCTACCTAAAATGTTCTCTGTCTGAAATGCATCGAAAGTAGCCGCTAACTAACGTTAGCAGATGCGTTAGTTAGCCATGTCATGATAGGCCGTCCAA